CTACTACTTCTCACTTTTCATCTAACATTCGTTCAACTCTTGATAAGTTTTACTGACTTTACTATCGAAGGGTCTTCAGATGGCACAACACCAGCATCCCTTTATGATCTTTAACGATTCCTCTTTCTTGTTCTACTTCTCTTAAACTCAATAGGATTGTTGATGGGCCAATCGATCTGATTTTTTCAATTTTAGAATCTACCGTCTACATATTTTAATTGAATGAAAGGTTCATGACCTTNTCAATCGATCTGATTTTTTCAATTTTAGAATCTAGCGTCTACATATTTGTATTGAATGAAAGGTTCATGACCTTTACACATTATCACATTTATCTCTCAAAATTTTTGTATCTTATTCTTATTTTCAAATTAACCTAAAGTGTTCTTAATTATGGCTTCTCTATGAAATTTCCTTTTAAGATTGAATGAAAAAACTTGTTTTGGCCCTTGTATTTTTAAATAAGAATAACAAATAATAATGCAAAAAATGATTAAATATTTGACTCACATTTTAAAGTAAATTAACAATATTTTTCGATGAAAAAACAAAAAATTTTGATCAATAAAATGTAAACAATAAGAATATGATAAAGAAAAAGTAAAAGATATAAATGTTGTAATGAATAAAGGTTAATGAACGACCATTATACCTGAAGGGATAATGGCACAATGATCCAATGCCCATTGGGCCTATTGAGCTAGCCCAGCTAGAACTTAATGAAGTCCAGCCCAACAATCTGTTTCTCTTAAACTGGTGCTAGAAACGTGTTTGTTGAGGGAGTTGAAACCGTTTTTTCTCCTACCCAATTGAACGCTCGAGAAGTCACTAAGTGTCACCTCCTATACCTTAGGATTGTGGGACCTTAGGTGACTCTGTTAAAAGGGCAACTAGGGTTTGAGAATTTATAATTTGGCTTCTACATTCTTCTCTTTTCTCCTGTGCTCTCAGCGCCGTTTCTTGTTCTCTTCTTCTTCACTGTAGAATTTTCATTTGATTCCTTATCTTCTCTCTGTAGTTGGTAATCTTGAGTGATTTCCTTGAGTAGAATTTTGGTTCTTGTGTGAACCGTGTGTTGTTGAAGAATAGAGTTATCTTGTGTGATATAATTGGGCTTGTCTGAGTGTCAAACTTTTGTAATCTATCTTGGGGGCTGATTTGTATA